GCTGAAACCACTTAACCGGTCATCATGAAACTTTGTACACATATTGACACCATAGTCTAGACCTTCGTCACGGACGAGTGCAGCAAAAGTTGCACGAAATCAAGAATCTTCAGCTCTCGAAGAGCTCAGATCTTCTCATTGCAAAGCAACAAAATGTGTTAAGAGCAACAGAAACGCCTATTCATGCACGAGCTCATGTAGAAATACAAGCTGAACAACAGAGAATAATTATTTTAGCAGAAATGCAGGCTAGAAGGCTCGACCAAATCGATAAAATAATTAGTACTGAAATTCCAGATAAAGTAAAAGATAAACATCTGGCCATTACAAATATTAATTTGAACATTTTGGAACAACAGTTTTTAGATTTAATGCATAAATGAATTGTGAAGAACGTATAAATTAATATTATATATTTTCTCTGCCATTTCCATCCGTATGTATAGACCATTAAGACAACAGATTTAAAACATACATATATACGGTGGGGAGTACAAATGAGTACAAGTTTGTGCATTGTGTATATCTTTCTGCATAAGAATATTTGAAAATATTTTTTTCCTTTAGTTCATGTTCAATTATAAAAAAAATTGTTAATAACATAAGAAAGTAAATAACAAGTTCTAAGGACAAATATAACTGAAACAACTCGCATGTACTTAATTTTACACTGTACATAAATTTTCAGAAAATACATAATTCCTAATATTAAGTCCATTAACCTTAATTACACAAAACACTTTTTTACATGGGTTGGCATACTTTCCACTCAATTCTGTATAATTTCATTTGGAATGCTATGCCATTCCCGCTGTACCCACTGCCAAAAGTCCGGGTACACCTTTTTTGGGGTGACACCAGCCCGGTTTCTCAAAAATTCATGTGAGAGGAGTTTCAGTAAATTAAAATTAATAAAAAACTATTTGCGGACAACAATAACCCAATCGCGGCTTAGCAATCTTGGTATATTAGCCATCGAACACGAGGCAATACAAAATATAAATTTCGATGAAGTTATTACTGAGTTTGCAGCTACCATAGCTAGAAAGACGAAATTTTAATTGTATAACAATTACTTTTCTGTCTTGGTTATTATTGTGTTTTCTCATTTCTTCAATATTATAAAAAATAAATGATTCATGTCCTTTATCATATAAAATTTATTGCCTTTTACTTTCCTTGGGGTGACACCACCAACTTCCTCACCGGGTGCTACCCAAGATAGCTACGCCACTGGCGACTGATTTATCAGCAGGTTGAGTAGACTGTAGCTTAGGGCGTTAAAGTTTAGAGGCGACAAAACAAAAATAAAAAAAAACTTAATATGCACACAAAGCAAACAAGTTTTTTCAAAAATTAAAATATTTATGTACTACTACAGACACTATAATAAATACTTTAACGACTCTACATGAATAGTTGATAAACGCTTTGTAAAATATACTTTTACCATTATGAACTTTTACAATATCGCAGCGATACGATATTAGTGCTGAAATTTAGTTACTTTTACATATTTTTTTTACTGATAATTACTATAATTTTTGTCTCTATGCACCTAAATTCCACAATCCAATAACCACATACCATAATGCCGATAATCTAATTAGCAAATTGTCAAATCAAATTTCAGAAAGTTCTCTTTTATCCGTAAAAAATACCGATGAAAATTGATTATTTTTTTACATATAAAACCAGTTTAGTATCTTAGGTTTTAATATTTTAGTTTCAATTTCTGAAATAACTGATCTGTGTACGATTCTTACTTTACAATATGAAAAGAAACTCTCTACCGAAAAGCCTGTAACGCGAATCACTAAAAAGTCTTTCTTCGTTCATGCGACAACATATAGCACTTCGTATTGCTTTATGTACACCAGCGACAAATTGTTCTGGTGAGAAAAGTTTTTCTTGCTTGAAGTGAGTGACGCACTATCTGCGACCTAGATTGAGTCAAGAAGAGCTAAACGCTTAACTTTTGTGCTTTACAAGTATAATTAATGATTTTGCGTATTTAAAATCCCGCAAAATTTTATTGCAATGCTTTTTTAATTTAACCTTATCTTTAATACTAACAGATAATTAAGAGAAAAAAATGTATCATATTGTTTTTAAATTATGAATGTAATAAGAAAATATTTATCAAGGCTCCTCGAATGTACATACACACATTTGGTGTAAACTTCGTTTATATTAGGTAAGTATTGTATTGTATTGTTGTATAGTTTCAAGACATACCAGAACTTTGTTGAAAAGAAGTACAGTATTGAGATTTTCTTTGCTAGAAATAATGTTTCTTCATTGCTGTAAAAATAATCAAGGATCTGACACGGTACCTTAGTTCTTAAATCATAAAGTGGGAATTTTTCCACCGAAGTTATAATACCCTTCACATATACAAAAGGTGCATAACAAGAACTTGATTCCGATCGTTAAGTTTGTATGGCAGCTATATGATATAGTGATTTGATCTGAACAATTTCTTTGGTGATTCCATTTCTGCTTTAAAGCAGCTTCTTAGTGAGGAAAGGACGGGTGCAAAATTTTAGATCAATATCTCAAAAACTAGGGACTAGTTCGTATATATACAGACGGACGGACATGGCTAAATCCCCTCAGCTCGTTACGCTGATCATTTATTTATACATATACTATATATACCCTGTTCAGGGTATGAAAACAAAAGCAACATTTATTCGGTCATATGTAAAGGCTGTCATGCCAAGCGGTCAAGCATCAAGCTAGTCAGAACAAGTATAAAATTGTACAATTTTTATTAAGATTATTATTATTTTATACGCTAAGTCAAAACTTGGAAAATTATAATAAAGCTCCAACATGAACTTATGTGCATAAGAATGTACATACATATTTATGGAGTACGTTTTATATAATTGTTCATATACATATGTGTATTAATTGTAATTAAAATAATTTATCTTTTCAGGTATATACATAAGTATGTCAACATGTACTTACGTCCATATATATTTATTTATATATGTACATTTTATTCCAAACAATTGAATTTTCGGCTTCGAATTGTAAAGAAGAAAGAAAGTCTTGAGCGGTTTTATGCGCATAGCAGTTTCTAACTTAAATAAATAATTAGGACATTTCTCTCTTCAATAACTTTAATATTTATAAATATAGATGATAACGCTGGAAACATGGTTTTCGAAATGTAATTTCAGCCTTCGGCATTTGAAGAAAATCGTTAATTTTGGTTTGCGTGTTACAAGACCTATGACATCGTATTGTCAACATGCCAGCTATTAAATGTCACCTGCAGCAGTTTATGATTTGTGGTCAAATAGGTAAGCTACAAAGCCAGGAGAAGAACGTCATATGCGTATTAACATGTATACATACATAAAAACAAACATACATATATGTATTACAACCCTTAGGAATTGTTTAAACATATGTTCAAAATGTTAATATACAGTTTAACAAACCCACTACCATATATTTAAGTGGTGGGTACAAATATTTATAGAAATACGAATATATGAGCCATGCATACATGCATATATGTGTTTGTTATAATTCAGGGGCTGAGAAAGAAAAATTAACTGCAGTCGCGCGATAGTCAATATCCCTACAAGAAACTGCTAATGGGTTCACCAATACACTTACATTTATTATGTCATTATGTTATTTTTCCAAAAGCAAATTTTGTACACGTCGAAAAGAGACAGCAAACGTTCCATAGAAATATCGAGAAGTTGTGAAATACCTATGTAGCTGTTATTCCGTGCGATAAACCAAAAGTGTTGCGTGCTCCTGTGCAAATAACTCTTTTTGTGTCAAAAAAATAAATAAATAACGAAGGAGTTTGCAAATATAACATACGTAAGTTATTAAGTTTACAAAATAATTTTATTTTTTGTCAATTTTCATTTTTATTTAGGTATTTTTAAATATTTCGAAACATTCATGAACTGGAGAAACACGTACAGCAGAGCTTTTGAGAGGAGGAGATGGAATCAAGTGGAAATTTCTTTTCATAATTTATTAATTATATTTTTACTGCGCAAAAGAATTTTTCACTTGTGATAGATTTGCAGTCATAACTGACAAATGTCAGCTATGATGGATTTATGGTCAGCAATGACTCAGAAAAAGACATGAGAGTGAGCAGTATAGATATATAGTAAATCAATACCCATATTTTAAAGAGAGATGCAAACTCACACACATGTCTTTGTTTACATCAATTTTTACACAAGACTCTTAAGAAAATGATAGAAACTTTGTTCTGCGCGCTGACAAATTTTTTTCAGCTGTGACTGTCATATTACCGGTCAGATGACTATCACTGTTCTTGTAGGGATGGATACTCGCATACTCATACATGCTTATGACAAATGAACGTGTATTATACATATTTCATACTATATAAACAAACTTGCATGTACCCAGTAGTAAAACATAAAACTAATAAGGAACTCCGACTTTAAATCTAAAGTTAAACTAGTCTGAATATGACTTTTGTAATTTTAGAAAGACTTATTAAGGTTAATTTATTTTGTACTGCTACAAATTAAAAACTTCTAACCAAAGTCTTTTATATCTTGATTTGACTGCAGGATACTCGTACTTACATGTGCATTCATAAACAGAATTACAGAAATTTTCAGACACATTCACACTGAAGTGAATGCATAAAGAAACTTAGCTGAATTGGAATAGATCAATAAAGCTTCTTGACATAAATATGTAATACATAGGTATCATCCAAAGCGTTTTTTTAGAAGGGTAAACTCTCTATCCTATGTGAAAAGAATAAAGCACTCAAAGAGTTTACAAATGGTGGGAATCTCAGCGTAATCACTCCACTTTTTAAATATGTTGCTTTCTAAATGGGTTGAATTAGCGACTATCTGAAATACTCACTAGGCTGTTGTTTAGTGCAATTAATAATGTGTTTTAAGGTTGCATGAATTGTCTTAAACATTTTGGTATTTTTGTTGTGTTTATGTAAAAAATAGTTTTAGAATAGGTTATAAAAGATAATTTATTTTTCATATACAATACATGTTTTTGTTTTCATTTTTTACAAGCTAATATATATGGCATATATTTTTAGTAAGATTATCATACGTTTTGAAAATTATATAAGCAAACGCTATCCAGAGTCTTTGTCACGGTCGAGAAATCAATCAATCCGCAATTGATTTACCAAATACTCAACAAACAATAAAAATATTCAACATGTACGAGCTTTATCTTTAAAGTCTAAGCCGACATTACGACCAAAATTTCTGCATTTTTTACATACCTAATTTCATACTCGTACAAGTACGAATGTATTCAAATAGTATTTATTTTTCTGAAGTATAGTAATAAACGAATATATCTACAAACAAAATCTAGTGACAGACATCTCTTAGGATCTCAAAATATAAGTACAATTCGCATGTATGGAAAAAAGACAGTCTGCTACTAGTTGAGCTTGTAGCTTATAACCAGATGACTTAACTACGGGGTACAAATACGAATCTATCATTGTATTGCAGACAAATTTGATGTTATGTCGGCGAACGATGGTCGTCATTCGTTGCAGGAATATCGTAAATTGTACACGGCGTATAATACATACACATAAATCCTCACTGAGTTTATGTACATATTTATGTATATATTTTTAAGTGTACATGCACATGAGCGCTTAAATATATATGTATCCACATGCATCCACATGCGGCTTTTATAACTTGTGTACTAAATATAGCAGCAGCAGCTGTACACATAAATATACCATATAACATATATAGTATATACTAGCATATGCACGTACTTTAGTTTTTTGTATGTATGCGCTTTGTTGCACATATGTATATGTCTATACTTATATACTTGGGACTTCGTATACGGTGCGGTTCATGTACTTTAATGGCCTACATATTATATATATGTATGTATGTATATCTAGACCAAATATACTCCTATGTACATACATATATATGTAACTGTATGCAGAGTGCACTGCACTCGTGTCTCCACTATGGGAACTTAATCGATCAGAAAAGCAAGATGACTTTACTTAGAAAAGAACGTACTATGTATATATTAAATTCTTATAACAAATTTTTGCAATTAATGAGTTACCTTAGTTTTTACAGATCCATTCGCAATCTTGCAACTTCAAAAACAAAAATACAGCTTTCAAATAAGCACACCATTATGATTTCAACAAATACATACATATGTATGTATTTAACATGTATTTATATAAATTCATATATTTTAAAGTAAAAAATAAACATACATATATTTAAAATATTCATAGGAGATATGTATACATTTATGTATATACTGATATATAATGATATGCACCTGTTTACACCTATCGCTATAGGTCAGTGCAATGAAAATATTTAAATTAACTTAACAGACACACTGCATTGTAAATATGTAGTATATGCATACATTTGCTTTCATAAAACAATTCACTACGAAACTAAGTAAATATGAATAGTCATATGTACATCCATACGAGTATAACAAGATTTACGTTTGTATGCACGCATGCACACTTTTTAGCTTTTTTTCTTCTTATTTTATTGTAGTATTATTATATTATTAGCACGTATTTGCACCGATATTTTCCACTGGTGCGTATATTTTTCATATTTCTTTATTTTTTTCAGTGTATTTGGGAGGCGTGGATACACTAGGGCACTAATATAGGGTATCGGAACGAACGCGGCGCAATTCTCTTGTTCTCCACAGTTTATCAATACGATGTTTCCGTTTATGTTGTTTGTGCGATACTGAAAATTTAAAAACTTCACAACGTCGTTGTTGTTTGTTGCGTGAAAGTTCGTTACATTTTTTCTTCTTTCAGCATGCGCTCGGCAAAACTTTCGCTTCGGTTGCCACGATTCGATTCGGCGGCCGTCGTTGCTTCGCTCACCTTTTCGTGCTTTCAATTTACGGGTAGCCCATCAACTTTATTCCTGGTGTCGCTGATTATATTATATCTTTCCACAGCATACATAGTGCCTTTTGTTAAGGAAGCATGGCCAAATATTATCTGCCAATTTAATAATGTGTTCACCTGACAGTTCTCTCAATCTCTACAGTCTAGACCGGCGTTTAAATTGGAAGGAACTTTATAGCGTGTTTATTAAAAGAAAAGTCTGTAATAAGTATGTATATGTATGTAAGTTAACATTTGTGTTCGATTTGCATTTTGTTTTCCAAATTTGTGTCTGACATGGCGACAGTGTATTCGTACATGTACTTATGTACATATGCATGAGGATGAATTTGTGCGTATTTTAACCGTTGTGCATACTCAATAAATAGTTCTACACATCGTAGGCACTCGTCATATTTTCGCATATTACGATTGCCCATTTGTATACATTCCTTCTTATGGAATTTCGTATATGTATGTTTAAACGAATATTTAGGTTTATCAACTACCACCTTTATGTACCATATATGTTTACAAAGTAGACTACGTTTTAGTGCTTTTAAGGGATTATATTCAGCTGTGAATTTCAAAAAATCGATTTTTTATCGATTGTACATATATAATATTTTAGAATATTCTACGAAGTTTTGAAGTTAATCTGGAAAATATCTATGACCGTATATGTAAGAATTGTTTAACTTAGTATATTCGCACCTAAAACTTTAAATGCGCTTTTCTCGAATCGCTATTTTTAGAATCGGTCAAGAATACAAGATTACGACAATAATTTACCATTACCTTTTTCGCTTCAGGCTGTGACACTATTTACAAAAACAAATTGTACTATGCCGCCATGTGTGACGTAACTCTTTTGAGTTGAGAAGAAGAAGCATAAAACAGCATGTAAATTGTAAACAACGACGTAAGCACTTTTGTTAATTCGTGAAATAAACCTAATTTATGGTAAAAAAGTTTTTGTGAAATGAATATAATAATATTGCGTGAAAATATTTTTCTTATTTTCAAATAAATACATGACAAAATAATTGTCGACTAAGCCAAAATCTACAAACTGTTTTACTACACAATTAAAATAAATTTCCACCTATTCCATTGGCACATTCCATACATCTCAAAGAAAATTACAGCAGTATGAAAATGCTATTAACGGCATTTAAATATATGCAATACAAGTGGGATGTTATTGAAGGCTTGAAGATGGTATGGCGTTTTTGACCGGAATGCACGGTAGGTATACTTAAAACTCCTGTTATCTTTGCCTCTGGGATAGTATGAATTATGCGGCTCGGTACCTGGAATCTCTGTAGGCCTTCAAATAAAAAAATTATGGATTGTGATATTTTAAGTTACTTAGCAATGAGGAGAAAAACGCCTGAAACTGTTTTAAGGTGCATGGTTTCCTTAAAAACTATAGGACTGACAATAATGATGACCTGATCTCTGACATGAATTCGAATTTTTCCACCATCGGACGTAGAATGTCTCATAAGATGGCCATGTTACATTCTGATTTAAATAAATTTAAAGATAATATAGGAGCTTATTCGGAAAAACAAGGAGAACGCTGTCATCAAGATTAAGGGGTTAATAAGAGAAACATGACAGGAAAAATAAAACTGCAAATTTTTAAATATTTGGAGTATATTTTTAAATGTCTATTGTAAAAATGAATCCTCAGTGGATGATCGGTATCTTGTAATAAATTATTTATATATAATATAAAAAATACCTCCCGGGCCCTTAATTCTCAAAGGGGCCTGTATTTTTCAAAATATTAAATGAATAGTTAAAACTTTTGTAATTTAATTTGCAAAACATTGGAAAATTACAACATTCCTTTGGAATATTGCCGTGGACAGTACTACGATAATGGAAGTAATATGAGCGATAAATATGAAGGAACGTGTATGCTGTTCTTTCGCCCTGTGATGCCCACACGCTGAATTTGGTTGGAGTCGACTCTGCTAAATACTGTCCTCGAGCAATAACTTTTTTGGTGTCGTGCAAAAATGTTTTAATATTTTCAATTCCAGCACACAATGTGGATGTGTTCGCCAATTGCGAAAAATCTTTCCGGATTGATAAAGGCTTTGAAAGAAGTTAAAAACTCAACTTTACGGCAAAACCTCGTCGAGACGTTGATGGAATTTCGAAATCTATGAGCAAATTTTAATGCATTCTGATGCTCTCTATATGGTGTAAAATTCTTCAGTCAATCAATGAAAGACACTTGGTTCTTCAAGAGACCAATGCCACCATCGACGCTGAAGTTAGAAACATACCATAGAAAATCTTCTAGTAGATTTGCTATTTCTGCGTGACCAGCGGAAATCAATTTATAATGGATGCAAAATTGTAACAGAGAATTTAGAACATGTCGAGACGATTTTACCATCAGCAAGAAAAAAGAAACACGGAAACGGATGAAAAGTAAAGAAGAAACCGAATTTAAAAGAAATCATTCTCAGGTTCAAGTAAAAATTAATGAAAAAATTCCTACACATCTTTGTTATTTAAATTAATTATTATTTTAACTATTTAATTAATGATTTAATTATTTAATAATTTTGTATTATTTACTTTATTTTAATTATTTCGAATTTAGGGGCTTTTGTTTTCTATTTAGGGACTTTTATTAAATGCTTGAGGGGAAAGTTTTTTCAAGAGTTAGAGACACTGGTAAATTTTGTGAATTTGAAGCATAAATATTACTTTGTAAACTGTCGAAACGCAAGTGTGTTTTCAGCAATAATTTGAAGAAAAAATATTATTTTTTGAGAGTCACATATGACGACTGCAACTTTCGTTGCGACAAATAGAAAGCAACTTTTTCGGTTGCTGCTGGTGAAGGCAATAATATTGAAAATCATTGGAAGACAAAAAAGCACAAAGTGGCAGCAAATGCTTCTCCTCAAACTTCAATCATATCAGATTTTTTCATCGGAGAGAAACCAGATTTGCATGTATCGACGATGGAAGGCGTATGGGCGTACCACACATTTGATGAGAGTCACAGTTACAGGTTTGTTATTGAAAAAATCATTTAAACATCAGCAGTTATCGTCCGATTCGAATTTTTTCAAGCTTCTTATTGTAGATCAAACGACTGTGCAAACAAAATATTTCGAACCTGTTTCCAAATGAAAAAAATTTCGTTCTCAAGAACATAAAGTGAAGCGATAATAAGCAATGTTTTTGCACCATACGCATTGGAATGCCTCAAGTCTGATTTACAGAAAGTCCGAATCATTTGCTTCGCATTGATCGGAAAAGTGAAGGAAATGTTTTTGCAAAATTAAAGAACTTAAAATCGAACATAGTTGGTGTAGGTTGTGCAGCACATATCGATGCGATTCGTACCGCATGTCATGCACTTGATGTTGAAATAGACAGCATTGTTGTACAGATCTACACACCTTTTTACATCCACACCATTCTCACAGCAGCATTAAAGTCAATCTGCAAAATTTCTGAAGACGAATTTCAACATTTAATGAACACATTTACAAACATCCAACCAACACAATTACTTTCCGTTGCAACTTGAAACAATTTGAAGAAAAGGCGAGACAATTTCGAAGTAAATATTTCATTTGACACCTCAATTTTCGTTTTCTCATTTTTAATTGTTTTTAATATGTCAATCAGGTGATTGCTACGAATATTTTGAGGCATGGGATCAACAGTTTGCTCATGTAAAACTATTTGGTTGTGTGCTACTCACTGATAAACTCGACTGGGAAAAAATTGAGAAAACGTTTATTTTCCTCCCAGAAAATAATATTTTGAAAGCACCAGACACTACTTCACATAAGCTTTTCGAAGAATTCACTTATATCTCTCAGTATATAGGTGGCAAACGAATTGAAGATTGGAGCAAAGAACAGACATCCGTTGATGAACGTTGAGTTCAATGTTTTACTTTTCTGTTGAAGCAAAACATACCATTCGTTTAGCTTTCAGAGATCTTTGAATATGCTCTGACACTACCAGGATCATCGGCGCCACTGGAACGCATATTTTCCACCATTAACAGAATGTGAACATACGAAAAAACTTCCCTACAAGTCAATACCGTGAAATCGATTTTATTTGTGAAGAATAATTCAAAATTTTCTTGTTTGGAACTTTTCACTCACTTAAAATCGCACCCCGAGCTTCTTTGAAAAATCAATCGACAAGAGAAATACTTCAGACCGAAGATGTCTTCAGCAATTCTGGGAACACCGTCCACTTCATCAACTGATATACAAACAATCGAACCAGACAGTAATTGAATCTTTTAATAATATTTAATATTACTTTGCTGTCTCTTTTATCATTTCCATTCTTTTTGAGTAAAATTGTGTTGCTCTCTCACTTATTCTATGTCGCAATTTTCAGTCAATTATAATATGGAAAAAATCGATGAAACGTCGACTGAAAAAACGTCCCGGGAAATATATAGTATAGTCACTTTACTCTAAAAGGGCAGAAGATAAGGCTGGCTCCAAAGCACGGCTGCTAAGCAGGGGTAGGAGGGAGATGCCAAAGTCATGCACACATGCTGGCTGGTATCAGGGCCAAATCAAAATGATTGCGTGCGACGACGAGAGCTCGGTCGCACTATATAAAGCTTCTATAGCCAAGGTAGGGAAGGTATATCCCGCTGCTAAATGACATACCGTCCAGACCAAGGGCAAGGGTCTATATTTCGGCTACAGCCGGACCAGATTATGTAGCTTATAAGAGCCTGCAAACTGAGTCTGCCTACGGAGGGGTGGAAATTCGTCAAGGTCTTCGAGGACCCCGTAGCAGAATCTGTCGAGGAGACCAAAAAGGCAGCTATACAGATATTGCTATATTGCTAGAGATCAGTTATGGATTCACGAAAGTGAGGAACCCTACAAGTCGGACGCCGATGCTGCAGACCATCTAGCATCTGAAAACGAGATATGCGAAGTCGAGGAAGATCCTATGGAGTGGAAAGTTTAGAGCAAGGTGGGTGTTCTTCCGGGTCTGAGCTTGTTGACAGACTCTCAAACCTTTATACTGAGAAAGAGCTTTTAAGCGACTCTCAAGAAGACGCGGACATAACAATAGTTATTGCGTATTCTACAAATTAATCTCCATCATCGCAAACTAGCTTCAGTAGTTCTAGTTAACCCCATGGCAATCGAACAGCCTGAGTTTGTCCTCATTCAGGAGCCATGGGTTAATAGAGGACGTATTTGTGAATTGAGGACACCGAGCTATAAGCTATTTATGGCTAATTGTGAAGGTAAAGTCAGAGCATGCATAATGGCAAAGAAAAGGCTTAACGATTTTATGTTACATCGTTATAGATACCATGACACAGCAGCAGTAAACTGGGAAACGGAAGAACTTGTGTCGAAAGAACCGCTTAAGAGGGTAACCCAATGGAGAGTTCTCGAAGAACACTTCTTTTCGGATCACCGATATATTGAATGTATCATTGTGGAAAGGGCAGATAGAGGCAATAACTTCAGGAATCATAAGAAAACGAACTGGCTGGTGCACATGCAAGAGCTGGGAAAACATACCCCTATGAATCCGCCGTTAAAGCCCAAAAGTAAGGAGGACCTCAACATCCTCGTGAAAAGATTCACGGAATCTTGCCGGCAAGCATTGGAGATGTCTTGTCCAATAACATAAAGTAGGGGTAGGATTAGGCCCCCCCACGGTGGCCTCCTGAATTTAAAAAATTACAGAAAGACTGCAGAAAAGAAAAAGGAGATTAGGAGAGCAATAAAAAAAATTCTTGGAAATGTTTTTGTAATGATATCGAGAATACGTCGGAAGCCTCTCGTTCCAGCTTATTTCGGAGACGACAAGATTAACGGCATGTATAGTCGAATGCCTGTGCGAATATTCGTCGTACTCGGCGATGCCGTCGGTGATTCGAACACACGATTGTATATGAAGATTAACACAATACGCGACGGCGGCGAATTTCGCCCACCATAACAATTTTTGAGATAGAGCTCATTTTTATTTTATCGCCGACCGCGGCGGCAAAAACGGCATTACCATATCAAAGAAAGTTTATTTTCAGTAAAATCTTTAGAATTTTCAAAACAAATTCAAGAAAATGTCTGCGCTGGCAATATTAAGATTGTTTCTGTTTGTTTTCGTCATTTCAATTTCAAAATTGTGATATTTTTAACCACGAAGTACGCACTAGGTGGCTATAAGCAAATAAAATGGATTTAAACGAACAATTAATATAGGAAATACGTAAATATGAGTGCCTATACAATTTATCATCACCGGATTACAAAAATGAGTTTAAAAACCCCAAATTTGGGAAGAAGTAGCTAAAATAATAAATTTGCCGGGTGAGTCAAAGATAAGCCTGTTTTATTATAAACTTTATTCTAAAGTATTATAAATATTTGCAGAAGACAATTGTAGGAAACGATGGAAAGGACTTTGCTTGGAAAAAGTGCTCTTTATCCACAGATTTCAGCGGTTTAAAACAAGTATCATGAAATCCTAATTCCTTTCATGTTAAATTCACGGGTCGTATCCATCATCTTCTTCTTGAACGCGATTTAAAATCTATGTATATCTTACACATGTTTAACATTATATTTAACATTTTTATTCTGTCGCACCTAAAACTAATCGAGATAGATATAGGGTAATGTATATATAATATAAATGATCAGGATGCAGAGACGAGTCGAAATCCGGGTGACTGTCTGTCCGTCCGTTCGTGCAAGCTGTAACTTGAGTAAAAATTGAGATATCTTTATGAAACTTGGTACACATGTTTCTTGGTACAGTAAGACGGTCGGTATTGCAGATGGGCGTAATCGGACCACTGCCACGCCCACAAAACGCTATTAATCAAAAACAAATAAATTGTCATAACTAAGCTCCGCAATAAGATACAAGACTGTTATTTGGTACACGAGATCACATTAGGGAGGGGCATCTGCAGTTACATTTTTTTTAAGTGGGCGTGGTCCCGCCCCTAATAGGTTTAATGTGCATATCTCCTAAGCTACTAAAGCTATAATAACAAAATTCACTGGAAGCAAATGTTTTTAGCACTCTACCTACGGTGTGAATATGGGTGAAATCGGTTGACAACCCCGCCCACTCCCCATGTAATGGTACTGTTAAAAACTACTAAAAGCGCGATAAATCAAGCACTAAACACGCCAGAGACATTAAATTTTATCTCAGGGATGGTATGAGATGACTTTATAGGAACCGCGTTCAAAATTAGACAGTGGGCGTGACACCGCCCACTTTTAGGTGAAAACCCATATCTTGGGATCTTTTCAAACCGATTTCAACCAAATTTGGTACATAACATTCTTATTATATTTCTATGTTATGGTGCAAAAATGGGCGAAATCAGATTACAACCACGCCTATTTTCCATATGACACCATTTTAAATTCCGCTTGATTCTTTCACTTTCCACTATGCAAATCAAGCAACAATGATTATATCGGCGTAAAACTTTGCGTGAATAATACGTTTAAAGTATGCCACCTTGTGACCAAAAATTCTCTAAATCGAACCAAAACTGTTCAAGCCCCTAGGTACTGAATATGTGGACCCCAGTACCTATAGTTGACTTTTTACCGTAAATATCGGCCATGGTCGAGATATATAATTGAAATTTATATAATAGAATAAATAAATGAAACTATCGATAATAGTATGTCTTTGTTTCAAAAATGGATTGAATCGGATCAATAGTTCTTGTAGCCCTCATATATCTAATATAAATATTTTTGAACTTCCGCGTGACTTTATACCGCATATGTGAGTTATCTCAATGAAAATGACAGAGCGTGTTTTACTCATAACAAGATCAAATCGGGTGAAAATTTTCCTTAGCCCCCATGTAACTAATATCAGGATTTTCGAACATTCGTCTGACTTTACTCCATTTGATTGGTGATGGTATGTGAGGTACCTTAATGAAACAGTGGGAGCATTTTATTAGTCTGTGGCATGTTAGTAGTATGTGGTATTGGAAAAAACTATTAAAATCGGGTTAATACTACCCTCAAATTCCATATACTACTTATAATGCTTTTGGTTATTCTAACCAGTTTTATGCCGAATACGTCGGTCAGTGAGTATTAATATTGTATATATGATTTCCGTCTTTCCACCTGACTTTATACCGTTCCGGTTGATCAACGTGATATTTTAACGAAATTAAGTGGAAAAGATTTCTTAAAAATTATGTGGTTTGACGCTGAATTAGAATGAAATTAGTATATACTAAGTCTAAACCTCACACCTTCATATAATGAATTCCGATTCTCTCTTTGACGTTTGCCACGTAAGCTTATAATATAAAATTTAGCCACTTTTGGTGGAGTTAATATCACATTCGTACTTATGTATATCTCACTTCAAGTAATAAAACTGAGACAAAGTTTATGGCCTTTAATATAAGTCAAGAAGATACCAAATTTGATTGTAATTTAATCACGATATCATTTAATAATGGATGTTTAATTCAACATTTTTTAATATACGGTTTGGAGGAATTTTCTGGTCTTTGATTTTCCCAGCTCACGTGTACTACTTATGGTATAATGTATATCGCTGCATATGAATGAAATTGGTCTAGACTTTGTTTAAACCTTATAACCCTAATATACTGATTTCCGCTCCTCTGGTACAACAGCAACCTCATATACCCCACATATTAAATCTAACCCCTTTGGTTCAGTTTATATCACATATACCATGTTTGAGTTAAATAGCTTCTTTTTATAAAAGTTAACATTTCGGAGAAAAAAATAGTATTGACACAAAATAAATCTATGATCAATAACATAAGTTAATAAAATACCAAATAATAATCGAGTAATGAATGTAGAATTCTTTCGCAACATTTTTATACTTTCCCAACATGTTGCAACAGAGTATAGTTTTGTTCACCAAAGAGTTGTTTGCATCACCTAAAGTGATATATAAAGATTTCTATATACATATATTTCTTCTAATATTTGGTGATAATCAGTGGTTAGGTATATTTTCTCAGCCATCATGTTGAACTTATTATAAAATATACCAGACAACAATGCTAAAAAAAAAGTTTCTTAGAGTGCTGGACTTTGTGTAGAGCAAAAAAATCTTTCTAGAAAAAATTGCATGAAATAAATATTAGTAATGTAGTATCAAAATGGCTAAAGACCCTTTTTATGTGGTTATAGATAAACTGCTTTCTGTCTTAGAAAGCGTTTAACAAAAGTAATTTACGGAGGGGTTTTCTGAGAACTTAATTTCAATACAATGAAATAAACTACTAATTTCTAAAATACAAATATAACTAAATATTAT